GACCACATGCGTCCGAACCTTACACCCTTGTCAGTTATGCCAGGAACAGACCCTGATGTGGGTGCTGGCGGGCCAAGATTCCGCGGTTCCCCTATTTTCTGCCCGGAGCGCATTCGTGGCATTTCGGCGCTAGGCCATGCGGCTTGCAGGGGTTTGCTGATGCGCTCTCTGCTCAAGCCGCCGAGATCTTGATGGCGCTGTCACTGTTTCGGACATGATTGGCAGAGAGATTTTCGGCAACCGTTGCATCGAGTCCTCTAGACCAGCGGCTGTTCTTTTCTATACCAACCAGAGGACTCGAAAAATAGACGCAAGACGGCATAGGAGAATGTTGGCACGAATGGACGTCTGACGCGCCGTCGCTTTTTTAGTTGCGTTACACTAGAGCGACCAGCCGTACATAAGTCTGGCTTATCACTTTTTTCTGCACATCCCGCTGGGTATGCCGAGCTCCAACCGTTTTTATCCACGCACAACAACAAAACGTGGTTCTCGGTTTTTTTTTTTTTTTTTTCCCTCTTTTGTGGTTTTCATCCGTCAACGTCCCGCTCAGGGGCTCGCTCCCGTTTCGGAGGACAAGGTCCAATCGGGACGGCTGCAGGGCTGGAATTCGCGGCGTAGCGGCGGAGGTTTCGTTCAAATGCGTCCTAGCGGAGGGTTTCCGGTGGAGCATGGAAAGCGGCACGGATTGAAGGTGGGTATTGTCTTTGCTCGTTGACGCCGCGTATTTGGGGGCAAATGTCCACGCACGACCGAGGTCAATGGAATGGATTCGTATGGACTATGGAGCCTATCCATCACGTAGGGTCGAATCTGCACAAAATGCACGAGATCCTCCAGAAAGGCATGTCAGGTCCGCTCATGAACGGGCCTTGTCTTCAGCTGCGATACTGAACGGACCATGTCTCGCTTGACGAATACGTGCTCCGCTTTGGTGCTCGCTTGTTGTCCTTGGGTCCTGTATCAAATTGACCGAGCTGGATTGGGAGACAGCGATATCAAGGAACCTTGGACCGGGGAAACTATTCTTGGTATTCCCTTCATCTCCTTCACCTTCACTGACCGACTTTACGGCATTGGCTCACCGTCCGATGGGTGGCCTCTGGTATTTATTGCGCTGCGCCTCGCCAAGATGGTACGTTAGTGCGCCGTCATTTGCGTGTTGGTAGTTGGACACCGGACATGAGTTGCGACAGGACGATATTTTGCCAACCGTTGTCTGAATTGTCAGCATGTTTGTGCGCAAATGCATAGGCACGTCCATTTGAAGTCCTCGTCATTGCACGCTGAACGCTGGAATTTTGTATCGACGCCCTTCCACGCAAGCTTCATCAGTCCTTAGGCCCAAAACGCTGTCTACTGGGCAGCTTGAGAACAGCGCTATAAGGATCCCACATGCCGTGAGGCTCGATTATCGCGCAATGATAGATCGCACTGGCGCACCGACGCAGAGATCTTCGCTGGTCTACAGCAACCACCCTAGTAAATGCATGTAATTGGGGCATGAAATTCATATGCATTTTGATGTGTTTATGTAATATGTAGTTAACTAATACGTATTTTTTCCCCCTATACTAACTACACTAAAAGTATTAATTTGAACTAGGTTAACCCCTTCAGTTAAGATAAAACTATATAAAAAACTTAGTAATAACTACTTACTAACTTTCTTATTACTTCTATGCGATCTAATACCTTATTACCTATAATATAACTATATTACTAGAGACTATATAATCCCTGTTTTTTGTAAATATAAGGAGTTATTTAATATTTCTAGTAGCTTTAGAGAGCGTAAATTTAGGTATAGTACTTTAGATTTTAATAATCTCTTCTTTATTTAATACCTTATGAGATCTATTATTAGGTACTACTAGTAAATTATTATAGTTATTAAGTATATAAGCTATAATTTTATTAGGAGTATATAGTTCTCTAAGGGCTATATTCTTATTAATTAGGCTTAGAAACTCTTAAAGTAACTCCTCTAACTCTAAGAGTATTACTATATACTAAAAAAGGCTTATTAGATTATCTATTTAGTTTAGAGGGGTATTATAATTAGCTATAATTAGCTATAATAAGATTATAGAGTATAGAGTAATTCTAATAGTTTTAGATTATAGAGCTATTAAGAGACCTAAAGAAGGTTTTTACTACTTACTATAATATGAGGTGTAGATTTATAACTTTAGTAGGATTAATATTAGGTATTATAGTGAAGTGCTTTATAAGCTAAGTGAGGTAGGTATATCTATAATAGCTCTTAAAGGTATTAATAATATCTTAATTTATTAGCTAAAACTTTAAGGTTATATTTAGAAGTAGGAACTTAATATATATCTCTGTTAGTAGTAGGTTAAGTTTAATAGTAGCTATATAGGTAGAGAAGTTATCTATAAGGAGGAGGATTTTTTAGCTTAGCTTCTTAACCTAAATATAGTAGTAAAATGCCTTTAGCTAGTTTATTATAATAGCTATAGTAAACTAAGTAGTTTTATTATACCTCTAGATAATATTAAATGTATTAAAGTTAAACTCTTAAAAGGTGTATAAGGTCTTACTTCTACTAATAGCGAAGATTTTAAAAGGGTTATCTCTTATTATATTAGTAGTGAGGTTTAGGGAAATTTAGGATTTATCCCTCTTAATATTAGGTTAAGAAGTAGTAGCTTAGCTAGAGGTAGGTAGTTAATATTAGTATAAACCTATTTTATTTATATTATATATATTATATAGGTTATATTTATAGATTAGTCTTTATATCTCTTTAATCCTCTAAGTTAATGTTATACTAAGATTAGTAGAGCTACTTTTATTATAAAATAGCTAGTACTTTATATAGTACTACTTTTTAAATAACTATATTTAGGTATAGCTAAAAGTAAGTAGATTAGAAGTATTAAACTTAAAGTTCTTTATATAAGGCACTATATATTAGATATATTACGCTTAGTACTAAATAAGTTAAATAGTTATCCTAAATCCCTTTATTTTAAGCTTAATTTACTACTAGTAGAGTAAGTATTTAAGAGTTAGTTATTATACTGTTACTATATATTATATTTTACTACTAAGTAGCTAATTAGAAGCTAGCTCTTTCTACTTCTTTAAGAGGTAATAAGAGATATTAGTTTGTGTGATTTTAATATTATATATATTAAGTATATATTATATTATTGCTCTCTAAGAGGGGTAAACTAGCTAGTTAGCTACCTATTTATAGAGGGCTAGCTTCTACTAAACGCTTAGTTTAGCTATTAGTAGTGTTAGTATATATATATAGCGTGGTAGTGTAGGTAGTAGAAGGTAGTATTAAGGGTAGGTTAGCTAGTGAGGGCAAAATTAACCTTTTTTATATAAAAAATTAGCTTAGATTACCCCTACTAGACCCCCTACTACACCCTAGTAAGGCTCTGTTTTTTACTAAAAACCCCCTACTATAGGCCCTTAAATGGGATAATCTGAGGAGGTATATATAATATACAGAAATACAAAAAATCGTGTTCAGACTATATAAAATAAGGTGGGCAGCTCATAAGTATGCATTTTGACCTAGTTATGCGTTTTGGGGGTGATGCATTTTGTAGCATGGTTGCTGTATTCTGCGCGGGTGAACCAGCTGCTGAACGTCTAGACCGCGCATCGCCGTAGTGGAGACATCAGGCTCCTTCGCCTAAGTAGATTCCCCTGTAACGGCACTGCTTCGGATGTCGACCGTTCTGGAATTGATCGTCTCTTGCCTTGCTTTCAGCTGTTTTCATGTTACATTCATTCCTTTGACGGCCTGTTCTTGCCTTGGCGAACGGTGACGATGCATAGTGCTTGGACAAGCTGCCATGATTAGGATGACAAGTCAACCAAACAGGACTTCCGTTTTCCCGTCACGTTTGAGTTTGTGTAAAGTACTGCCAGCTTATGGATGTTTTATGAAGTTCTAGGCATAGGCATGAACAGTCGCAAGCGGTGCGGTGGCGCCATATAAATACATTCGTGTGGCTCAGGGTATCCACATAGATCGGAATAGCTTCAAGTCCTACGCAGATGCAGTTAGGGCCTAATCACTATACCTAGCCGAAATAGAGGTGACTTTCGTTCGTTTTGTTCCAACAGTTCATTGCGTTTTCTCTCTTATCATGCTTTTCACACATGTTTCCAGACGTTGAAATAAGACTGCTGTCACAGATCCGAACCGAAACTCTAATTTATTGCAAGCCAAGTCGTTTGACTCGCTCCCACCACTGGCCGACTAGTACCATCGCGCATCGTCAGATCAGTGAAAATTATTCCAGATTGGAACTCATCATCGTTTTCAACTAGCATTTCGATGTTAGCTCATAACATTCACTAGTTAGGGGAAGTTTACTAGCTGGGTAGAGTCTTTACACATGCTTGTGATCCGGATATCCTACACTGAAGTGATCATGTTTCCTGTGTACTTACTTTTATTGTCGTCGTCATTGTTGTCGTCGTTAACGCCGTCGCTATCATTATTTCCATCGTCGTCTATTATTGTCGTCTATTATTATCGTTCTTTATCGTCGTTGTTGATTGTCGTCGTCTATCGTCGTTATCAATATCACTAGCCCTATCGTTTCCTTCACTACTGTCGTCCTTACAGAAGACTTAGCTGCTCTACAATAGTGCCAGGTTACCACTGTTCAGGTAAGTAGGCAAGTTCTCGGAATTTTTGCCTCATCCAAGCGTACCCCTTGCCCTCATTGATATCCTACCTATGCGCCTGAGTAGGTTGCTAGGTTAGGTTCTGCCCTGCATCCTCAAGGTACTCTTAAGGACTAAGCCTTCAATAACCTCATCAAATCTTGCCCATGCCCTCAACCGTGCTTCCACCAAGGTCCCCAAGGACCTTGTGAAATGGCCGACATTGTCACATATAAATGCTCGGTTGCCTCACCGAACAAGGCAGATCATTGCCTAATTCCTCCAATCTAGCTACACCCTCCTGAGCAATTTTTGAATAACATACGCGCGATTTCATCATGACAACTCCAAACAATTCTACGGCACGCCTGAAGTACGACCAAGACTGGCCAAAATGGTTTTTGCAGCTCCAGCTCCGGGCTCATGAACAGAACGTTTGGGAATACATCAACCCGAAGGCAGCCGATTCCAATGTTCCTGTCCAGCGTCCGCCGCTGGATGAGACAATTATGAGAGGTCAGACCGAGGTCACCGAATCAGACGTTCGCCAGGAGTATCCAGACCGTTTCGCAGAGTATTTTACGGCTGCTAACGAAAGTGAGGAAGTTCGAAGGGGTTGTGCCGTCTTGCGGAGATGGATCCACTCAACAGTCGACACCAGGATTCTGTACGCCGCACAAGAAATAGCCGCCGCAGAGGGTGGCAGCCTGCAGGCTGTCGTGCGGGCTTTGCCAAGCCAACTTACTCTCCCGAAGAGAAAAGTGATGCTATCGTTTTTCTCATCGTTCAAGACACAAAGTTCTCAGAAGCTAGATTTGTTGACGAAGAACACAAATTTGGGGGCTTTACACACAAAAGAGGCCTTGGCTGGAGGAGCTGATTCAAAATCTCCCCAGACTACGACTTCGCACAAAACACACTGGAACCCAAAATCAATCTTGGCGCTGTTGAAGCGAACCAAGGCAAACACAAAGTCGAGCCTTTTGAAGCTGCCGAACGAATTACTGCTTAATATCGTCATGCGCCTCGAGCTACATGACGAATTTATTCTTGGCCAGACTTGCAAAGCATTTCGAACCATCGTCCAAAAAGATTGGAATGTTGTTTTCGACTGTCTTTCTTTAGCTGGTAAACAAGACTTTTTGGCCGGAGTTGCCTTTGTTTCACCTGACCACTGGGTTTGTGGGTTTTGTGACAAGCTTCATCGTCTTGAAAAAGACGATGTACCTTGGCAAAAGCCTCTGAGAAAATCTCGTGGTCGCTGTCTATTTGACAGAAAAGGTCTATTTGACAGAAACGGGGCCAGCTTTGACCCTTTAGGCTTCGAAATTGAAGAGAGGCATGTTCAGCTTGCTCTGAAGTTGGCACGACTCAAGACCGTCAACCGGAAATATCTCAACAAGCTTATGGCACCTTTCAGCCACGAGTTCGACTCCGACATACGTGAAACGAGCGAGTATTTCCGAGCATCGCCCAAGATCATTCAGGAAAGGTTCCTCCTATATACTCAGCTCGACATCGTCGATAGAGTCGGCCTTACTCTCAACAGTTGCGACTACAATGAGATTTGCCCGCATATGGTGATTGACTCCAGCGACAAGACTCACGGGCGGCTCTCTGGCCCTGAGAATTTCAGTACCGACGTCAGAATGGCACTTTCACAACGCGGCAACGAGATTACCGGACACTGTCCACGTTGCCCAACCGATTATGCAATTACTGCCAGTCCTAATGGCATGAGAATTCAAGCATGGAAGGATTTTGGCTCATACAAGTCCCCAAAGGATGATTCTTGGACCGTACATGTTTGGAGCGAGCAGAACTCGAGCGCAACAGGCCCGGCCGTGTATCATGATCCTGGCAGTATTCGGAAACTATATGTAACGGGCACTGGGGAGAATACACAACAATAGACAACAACGACAGACGACGACGACGGCAGACCGCAATGGTAAACAACGATGACACACGATAATAATAGTGAGAATGACAAGAGTTGCTTATTATGAAAAAGCTATACTAACTAAACACACTCAAAGAGATGCTCGCACACAATGAAGGAAAGGGACATACCTATTCATTATTGTCTCCTCTTGGTTTCACCTCTCGAAAGAGGCTACTCAGCCCAGCAGCCACGTCAAGGCGGGAGACTTCTGCTGGGTGCCGACCACCCACCCCCCGGTCTATCTATTGCCCGACCGGGAAAGGCCCCCTACTCTCTCCGTCAGTATCTGTCTGACGAAGATCCTCCATCACCTTTTCAAGAGAACAGATCTTCTCCTTCGCTTCGTTCATCTCCACTTGAAGAGAACAGTTCTTGACCTTGACCTTGTCCAGGTCCTTCTGGAGAGAAGCGTACTGCCGCTTGGCGTCGTCCTTCTCCATTGCACGCTGCCTGCCAAAAATTCTGAAGTCGCTTTCTAGCTTCTCCCTCAATCTGCGCTCTTTAGTAACAAAATGAATTTGATACGTACCGGTAACGACGGCCATGAAGGCCAAGATGCCTGTGGCCACTGCAGTGACAATCTCTGCGGCCCCCATGATTGCTTTCGTATGCAGTGGACTTGAAGAGAAAAAATAAAAGAAAAAAGATCATGAGAATTCAAAGGCCGGGAGACTATATACAGGAGCTGTGAGTCTTCGTCTTCAATAACCTGGATGGGAGAAATACTGCTTTCTGTAAAGGTGCCGCTCAACAAGGGACTACCTAGACAATCAGTTTCCCGGAACGGCGTAATCATGAATTCAAACTTCTCAGAATGAACCGTTGTGGAGGGACACCTCTCACGAGGCAGCCGTTGCCTACATCTAGATGGGCAGGGAAGCCATCGTGGTACTAGGGAAGGACCACATAGAGAGAGTAACCGCCAACTACCGTCGACGATGACAGGACAGCAGCAGGTTCAGCGAGGTGGAATGGATTTTGGAGGAACCATGGATGCGTTGAACTTTGGTTGTCTTGCCTGCTTCTAGCAGAGCTTAACCGGGAAGATAAGCAACGTACATCAGGGTCCTCAGGGAATAGGCATCGTCCTCAGCTTCCCTCAAGGCGGAATTCCCTTCACAGCGGCTCAGTGAAGTAGATAGATCGTAAAATAGTAATCTAATATTTTCTGACTATTCTACGTCTTCTTAATACATCTGAGCCTCTTGTATAGGTATTTCCCTGTTTCATGATGGGCACCTCGCAAGTTGCCTCACACTTTGTTGGGAAAGTCCGGGAACTCACTATCGGAATAATAGAAATTAGAAATTAGAAATATCAGATTTCCAGCATACTATCTCAATTAGACGCCTTGTCTTGATGGAGAATTCTGGCGTTGCAGAGTTGGATGTGCTGCGTTTTCGCGCGGTGGTCCCATTTCCCCTCACCAAAATTACGGATGGATGGAGGTATATGGCTCTGGAGATCGATAATTCAGCAACCCCTATCCTTTTTCCTTTGCTTTTGGTTTATTGGTGTTATGATACATACATCCCTTCTCTGATATCAAAGCAGTCACGGACTGAGAGGAGATGTGGTCGCGCATAACCTTAGAGGTACACATCGGTCACCGACCGCGGATGGGCAACCGTGAGGCAACTTGTGATACCGACAGAAGGATAGAGCTTAAATCAAGAACCAGGAATCGAGACGATGAGCTTTGTTTCTACTGGCTAATCCATATCCCATAATCGTAAATCTGCCTTGCGATTTCTGGAGGCGTCAACGACCGCAAGGGTGACTGATCCCAAAATCCTCCGGGTTGCACATCGCCAACAATGAGGGTATCTCATGCAAAAATACGACACGCTCGCTCAAAACCAAAACCGTCCTCAAGCAAAAGCCCAAACCAGCACCAAGGCAACAACAACCTTGTCAACCCAGTGCCTCCCCAGCGTCGCCGCGCCGTTTCCCGTCCGATCGCCGCCCCTGGCCGCCGCAAAGTCGTTGGGCAGCACGAGACTGGGCAACGTCCTGAATGAAGGCGTCTCGAACACCGTCACGGGCGTGATTGAGCTCTCCACCGTCGGCGTCACCTCTGGCTCCGGCGTCGTCGCGGCAGCAGGCGGCGGTTGCGTTGAGGTCGGGGCATCTTGCGGTGGTGGTGGCGGGGGCGCCGTTGAGGATGTTGATGAAGTTGAGGAGGTAGACGGTCCCGCGGGCGCTAATGCCGGAGGGACTAACGTCGAGAATCCGCCTTGGGCCGGATTCGCGGCCGGAGGGTCCGTGAGAATTGCCGGTGGCGGTGATGTCGTCGAAGTAGTCGTCGTCAACACCGAGGAAGAGGCTGGAGGGGGTGGAGGAGCAAACCCGCAGTCGGCCATGATCTCCCTGATATCTGCCTCTCAAGTCAGCCTCTACCCATCAACACCATCCCTCAACCAAGCAAACTCACCTTCATTCGCCTCTACAGCCGTCACATTCGCCGCAATACATCCCGCACACCCATTCATCGCCCCAAACACATCAAACGACGTGTCCTGACACACGCACTCCTTCTCCTCCCGCTCCGCCGCCGCCACAACCTGCGGCGGCGCCTCGTCGGCGCTCGAGTCCGAGTCGCTGTCCGACTGCACCTGCCGCCTCCGCATCCTTTCCTCCAGTCTTTGCCTTCTCCTCCTGATCCTCTCAGGCGATAAAACGTGTCTTCGCCGTGCCTCCATCCCATCGTCGTGAAAAAACCGTTTGTCAACGTCCCCGAACCGCTGCTCCGTCTGCGCCTCGCACCGCGCCGTGAGCGCCACGATCGGCGCGCAGACCGCCACGCACTCGGGCGGCACGTCCTCCGCGTCGAGGTCCTCGGCCCCGACGAGGACGGGCAGCTGCGCGACGGAGGAGAGGGCGGCGAGCGCGGTGAGGTGCAGCGCCAGGCTGTTCCGGCGCGTCATTGTCGGTGGTGGACCATGCAATCAGCGATTTGCAGAATGGAAATGAAGTAAATGCCGTTATGAAAATAGTCGCTGGCAGTATGCTGATCGGTATTTCGTCCAATGTCTTGTCCCTTTTCACACTCGAGCGCAGTCGTGACATCTGTCATCCAAACTCTGCATCACCAACTCTAAAAAATCCGTGACGTCCCCTTCCCAACACCAAAAAAGAAGAACATCGCTCCCCATCCCGCCCGCGCGTCCGGGGGCTCTACCAAGTTTTATTCGCTCTCTCCCGGCTTTATCCCGAAGTAATCTTTATTTTTTTCCATTGTCAAGACGGAAACAAAAAAATCCCCTAAAACACATCCGCGTCCCCCATAATCCCACCATCCCCAAACATTTCGTGTATCACGACTACCCTCACCCCACAACCCGAGCGTCCAACCACACGCACCAAAGAGCTCTGACAGGTCGACAACGCGGCTACCGTTGACAAGGCCCGACGCAGTGACCTCTTCCTCGAGAATCCATCCGATTTGATCGTCGACCGGGATGCCAGGGTTCCTCCTCAGCAACTCTTTACAACCTAAGTTGGTATTCCGCCAGCGAGTCATTCGTCATCACCAACCGAGAAACTCTAATCTGTAAAGATCTCTTCCATCGTAAGAAATTCTAGACAACTTCGAAAAAGCCAAGATCTATGCCAGCGGGTCCGAACCCTCAGCCGTCTTCTCCGCGGTCCGCTGGACATGCCACTGCCCTCCCGGCCGAAGCCTATCCCCCCGAACGTGTCGGTAGCTGACAAAACCGTCATACGCAATCCAACACACAACCTGCCACACGCCAAGTCGTCTCGTCAAAGATGCTTATAATCCTTCCCCTCCCCTGGCCTTCTTTCTCCTTGGCTTCCCATGCCTCGCTTGCGTTCGCTTCCTGACTTGACTTACCTTGTCGAGCCTCTCACGCATCGTAGCCGTCTTGGCTCGCTCGTCTGCCGGCCTCCCGAGGTTTTGGCCTGCTCTGTCGCTTCCCGATCAACATTACCAAGAACACAAGCAATGCCTGCGTCTCTTGGCTGAAAATGCTTACTTACTGGTAGAGCTGCCCAAAACAGTCTGGGCGTTGACAAATCTTCACAGCCGTCGAGTCACAACGTCATCTAGAAATAGCCGCGTCATGTCTTGCCTCTGTGGGGGGTATATTTCTCTAAACTATAACAACATGAAGACAGCGCCAATTCATCCGGTCTACACGCACACGCAATCCGCTGGTCTTCTCTTCCCCAGCAACAGAAAGGGGCGATAGGGAAAGATGATTAACCCCATGTACCACCACCGCCGCCACCGCGTCCAGCCTTCCTCTGCGCGCTGAGCCTCCAGTCGTCCTCGCCGGCATACTTGTTATGCAGCGGCTGGATCCTCTCCGCCTTCTTCCTCTTGGACAGCCGGTCCGTCGGCGCGACCTTGAAGAACGTCGGCGCCGCGTCGACGAGCCACTTGGGCTCGATGCTCGTCGTGCAGTGCATGTACTCCTTGGTCGTGAGCACCAGCGTGTGGTAAATGACCCACTCGGCCTGCTTGCCGAATAGCGCCGAGCTCGGGTGCAGGTACACCGGCGTGCCCTCGATGAGCGTCTTGTAGCCCTCCTGCGGGTCCTTGCGCGCCGCGTTGCGGAAGAAGCCCGAGCAGAGCGCCTGCCGCACAATCTGCGTGTTGCGCCCGCAGGACGCGACGGGGTGGCGGTACCGGTCCATGATCTTGACGAGCTGGTCGTGTACGTCCTTGGCGCGCTTCATGGAGCGCGCCTGGATGAAGTTCTCGAAGCACCATGGCGCCGAGTAGCCGCTCTGCTTCCACGAGTTGTAGACGTTGAGGAGCGTGAGGTGGTCGCCGTGGGGGTCGTGGAACTTTGCCTTCTTCTGGTCCGCCTGGGACTGCTTCTCCTTCGGCCGGTAAAAGACGTTGGGGAGGTTGAGCATGGCGACGATGATGAGCATTTCCGCCGAGCAGTGCATGTCCACGGAGATGATGAGGACCTTGGCCAGGGAGGGCTCCATGGGGAAGTCTGCCATTTTGCGACCGAGACGGGTCAGCAGGCCTTCGTCGTCCAGAGCGCTAAGGGCGTAGAGTTCTTCGAGTGCCGTGAGCATAGTGTTGATCGGGGGAGGGTCCATGAAGTCGAAGTGCAGCAGATCGTTGATGCCCATCGCCTTGAGCATGAGAATAACGTGGGATAGGTTCTGGCGCTGGATCTCGGGAATCGTAGTAGGTAACATTTCGGACTGATACGCGGCTTCGGTGTACAGACGGAAACATTTTCCAGGTCCCGTACGACCGGCTCGTCCGGCACGCTGGTTTGCTTGTGCCTGGGAGATTGGCGTGACAACCAAAGAGTCCATACCCAGCTTAGGGTCGTAAGCGTTTTGCTTGACGAAGCCGGGATCGACTACGAAGTAAATGTTGTCAATGGTGATGGAGGTCTCGGCAATATTGGTTGCAATGACTACCTTTCGGCAGCCAGGCGGCGCGGGGTCGAAAATGCGACTCTGCATTTCGTTCGGAAGGGCGGAATACACGGGCAGGATGATGAGCTCTGGAACGTTTGGTCCCAAGGCTTTCATGCGCTCGTATAAAATCTCGCATGACGTGTCAATCTCTTCCTGACCCGTCAAGAACAACAGGATATCACCGGGAGGTTCTGTCAGGTGAATCTGCATGACGGTGACCAGTGCGGCGTCCAGGTAGTCCGATTCCGGCTCGCGGGAGTAGAGAACCTCGACAGGGAACGTTCGACCCGGAATGGTGAAGATAGGACAGCCGTCAAAGTAGGATGAGAATTTGTCCGCGTCCAGGGTTGCTGAGGTGGCGATGACCTTCAGGTCCTTGCGGCGCTTCATCGTCTTCTTCAGCAGCGCAAACAGTACATCCGTAGAGATGGTACGTTCGTGAGCCTCGTCCAGCATAATGACCGAGTATCGCTTCAGATCCGGGTCAACCAGAATCTCACGCTGAAGCATACCATCCGTCATGTACTTGATCTTGGTCGCAGGGCTAGTGCGGTCCTCGAATCTGATGGTGTAACCAACGGCCTCGCCCAGCGGTGTGCCGACTTCCTCAGCCACACGCTTCGCGACGGACATGGCCGCCACACGACGGGGCTGAGTGCAACCGATGACACCGTTGTTAGCGAAGCCGTCTTCCGCAAGGTATTGAGTAAGCTGCGTAGTTTTGCCTGAGCCAGTCTCTCCAATAACGACCATAACCTGGTGGTCTCGGACGGCATCCAAGAACTTCTGCCTGAAAGCATACACAGGAAGCGTCTCTCTCTGCTCCTTGATGCTCAAGTTTGTCCGTCTGCCGAAAGATTGGTCCTTGGGTGCCACCGCACGTTTCCACTCCGGCACAGCGTCGGGCTTGTTCTGGTTCATCTGCGACTTGGCGTTGCGCAGATCGCTGGCGAACTTGCGCTTGTCGGGGTCCGCCATCGGGTCGTTCCACTGAGCGGAGAGATCGACCTTGGATTCCTCTGCCGCCGCAGCTTCCGCTTCTTGCTGTTTCAGCTCCTTTCTCTCCTTAGCCAGCGCTGTGCCCGACATCGCAGCACGGTTCATCGACCCATCAGGCGCTTTCACGACTCGGATGGGCGACAGTTCGAGAGACTGCTTTGTCTGACCAGCCAGGAATGGCGGCTCCTCCTCGCGTACTTCGATATCAACATCCTCCTCCAGCTCCAGCTCGGCCTCTCCCCTCAGCGTCGCGTTGTAGTCCTCTTCCAAGTCAGGGTAATCCGAAGCCTTCGCAACACCCGAAGCAATCAGCTGCCGAATCTCCCATCGCTCAGGCGAGGTCATTCGCTTCTTTTGCCGGCGCTGTCCAGCCTGGTGTTGTGGCGGTGGCATAACTCCGTTGTCGAACATATTTCCATCTCGGCCACCGCCAAGAGCCTCCATGTTTGCGCCCGACGATATCCTGTCCTGTGGATGGAGGTCCATGCCAGTCTCTTGGTCCACCTCCTTCATCGACAGCCCTATCCTGTTGCCCTCAATATTGACGACCTTGACCTTGACATCCTGGCCTCTCGTCAACAGGTCGGAGGGGTGGTTCACACGCTGTCCCTCGACCAGTCTCGAGATGTGCACCAAGCCATCCACCTTGCCACGCACACCATGCAAGTTGACGAACGCGCCAAAGTCCTTGATGCCAGTGACATGCCCGCTGTAAACCTTGTGGAGTTGTGGCGCATCGTCGACCTCGGGTTCTGGGGCTCTCCTGAAGCGGCTATCGTCTTCGTCGTCGTAGTTGCGCCTTCCCCTGCGTTGCTTCAGGGAGGGCCCGTTCTCGTAGTCATCGACGGACCTCGACCGTGACCGGTACTTGTCTCGTTTCCTGCGGTCCCTTGACCTCGACCGATCCCTCCTCTTCCGCCTCGACTCGCGACCATCGTTCGGACTGCGACTGCGTTTGCGCGAAGAGGCCTTCTCGCCCCGGGCCTTGCCCTCCAATCCCTCCAGCAGCGCCAGTGTATCGTCGATCGCGTCGCCGTCGCCGATGCTGTCGTACGCGACGGCCTTGTCGGGGACAGCGAGGCCCTTGAAGATCTGTTGGTTCTCCTCTGCGCTGCGGTGGTGGTGGTCCTCGCTGCTGTCGCCGTTCTTCTGCGCCTTGCCCTTGAGCTTCGGATGCATTGTCAGCACGAGGCGGTCGACGCTGTCAACTAAACTCGGGGGGAACTCGGCGCCGATGGCGGACAGCTTCTTCTTAAAGGCATCGTAGTCCTCGGCGTCGACTCGCTGGGCGATGATGAACTCGGCGAGGGTCTTGTCGGAGACGCCCAAATGGTTCTGCAACTCGGAGGTGACCTTGGACACGAGCGACAAGAGCTCGAGATTCAAAAGGTCATCCATCGTCGCGATGTTGTTGTGGAGAAAAAGAGCAGTTGCCGGAACCTCGTTGATGGTCACTGAGGCCTTAAAAAAGTTCCCAGCTTAGTTACACGCTGCGCGACGCTGGGAGGCATGA